ATAATTTCAAATATCAGTATTCAACGTTTTATGTTTAAAATATCAAAACAGTAATAATGCATTTGTATCTGCAGGTTAAATGCATTCCTGTCCTGGATTAAACAGTGTGTAAATGCATCTAAATGCCCCTTAATGCAGCTTCTGTGTTTTCTCTGCATTGCAAAGATGGATTTTGTCAATACTGATTTCATTTAAAAGGTAAAAATCTATTTAAACTTATTGGAAAATATTAATTTCTATCACTGCTGTGAACTGACCACCACACAGAATATGAAGAATATCAAAAATTTTAGGAGTCAGCTGTCCACATCCTTCCTTACAGCACATTAACACACTCAGCAAAATATCATCTAATTATCGATATCAATAAAATCCCAGAAAATATTGAGATATATTTTTTGTCAATATCGCACACCCCTAATATATTTAACGTTTTGATTAGAAAAAAAAAAGGAACATTGCATGGGACTGATATTATCACAGGACCTCGGTGTTCGGCAAAATATGGTAGGTCATTTGCGGGGAATTTTTACTTTACAAATTAGAGACATGGCCGATTCACACGGGATTAAGATCACAGACAACCTCCGCATTTATTACGAATGACTAGAGGTCATCAGGTAATACTAATCCTGTGCGAATAGGGCTTAAGACAGATTTCTCCAATCTCCATTATGATATTTTATGTTTTCTGAGACCCGTTCTGGATCAAATCCAAAGATCAATGTTTTTGTCTTGGTATCTTTGTTTGTGTTTTTATATTCACTGCCATTACTTTGTCCCACTAATGGCCATAAACATGGCAGATGAGTGGAAAAGTCTTGTGAATGTAAAAGATGAATACTAGGCTATTGATTTTAAGCAATAAAAGGCTTGCCATATTTCATTCTCTCAGGCATATTTTTCTTCTAATGACTGATTTCACTGATGTATATGCAACCATTTAAAATGACACTACAGCCACTTAAATAGGGTGTAAAAGAAAACTGATTTTTTTTTGCCTTAAACATGCCTTTGTGTCTATTCCTTAATACAGCATAATGCAATATCCTTTAAGTCACCCACCTTATCAATATGGAAAAGGATGATGGATGTTCATCTAACTGTCCTAACCTGCTCAATAAATCCTTTAACAATGTTGTAATATAAATTCCACACCCATTTCTTTTAAACATCAGCTGGTTGCGTAAGAGACTCAAACTGTGAAACAACCTCCTGGCAGATTTCACATTCATGTAAACATGTTCAAGATGTTACAAACATGTGCAAAAATAAAAAAATGGGTGTTTAATAGTAACTGGCATTATAATTCAACTCAAGGTTTTTGATTTTATTAGCAAAGCTAATTATGAGGTGCAAATGGATTCACATATGAGTCATTCTATATCTAAGCAATTCAAAATAAGACACAATGTGAATGCCAAAATGACGACGATATGACTAAAAAGTTGTTCAAACTTCCAACTTTGCATTGTGGGAAATGACTGGTACATAATGAAAGGAGAATGTGTGACTTGCAAGCCCATGCTGCTTTTGTTAACAAGCTTCAATTGTCACAAACTAGTTCTGTGTGCGATACTCAGATCATTTTAACTTCAGAAACTGGTGCAAGAACACGCTGCAAGTTTAGAGGGTCAGTCGGTGTGGTGGAAACTGGTACCAGCCAGAGGAAAGTGGATAATGTCAAGTGTATGTTTGACACCCACACTGTTGCCATTCCACAGCTCCGGGGGACTGACAGATCAGAATACACACACTGCATGTCCTTTTCACCACAACATAGAAAATGCTATATTTCCTTTTTAACCTGTACAAATACAAATCATAGGTTCTAATTAGTAAAAAAAAAATGTTTGAGGCCAAAAAAAAAGGGAAAATGGAAATTAAATTCTACATCCGATCCACAGATTCCCTCAAAGATTTATGTGAACATGAGACAGGGCTTTAAAATACGCATACCAGTTTGACAGACTATGTGGCGCTGAAGAGCAATACATTAGCGCATATACCACACGCCCATCATCTAACAAAGAGGTCAATAAGGGTAACGCCATTGGGAAATGGCTCATTAATGGCTATTTTGGGATGCAACATTGACTGAAACACATTAGCATTTTTATTCAAAGAAAATAGACTTACAATAGCAAGAACTTTTATCTTTTCAATCAGACACCTCCTGCATTACTATAAACCTATCTTTTTTTGAAATCTTAATTTACATGACACTGCTTCCAAACAGTTCATTTCATTTTTAGAAAATTATAAAATCATCTTTATATATGTACATACAAACACGTGGATGTAAAAATGCACAGCTTTTGCATTTAATAAAACGATTCATTCATATCATCGCTGATAAAGGGGCGCATGCCAACACTGCTAGCAAAAGAGAAACCCATTCTTGATATAAATGACCTCAATTGTTCTGTCAGAAGATGAGGTGATCAAGTCCTGGGGTCAGATCTGCCGTAAATGGCACAAAGAAACAAATTAAGACAGCGGACAGAGCCATAGGACAGGCTCAGGGCTGGGTATTTGCGTGGCAGCGGTGAGCAAGCGAAGCTTCTTTCTTAAAACTCAGGCACTTGGGTATATCGGTCGGAATCGCTGCTGTCCCGGATCAGGTCTACGCGGAGAGCGAGCTCCTTGAAGGGTGGCCGAAGACTAGGATCGTTGTCCCAGCATTCCTGCATGATCTCGCACATCTAAAGAATTCAAAAAGTGAATATTTAGCAATTCTGCCCATAATTGCTGATTTGAAATTGACAGACACTTAAGAGAATTGTACAATACCTTTCAAAAGTTGGGGTCGGTACGATTTCTATTCGAGCCATTCATGCCAGACTGGGGAGAGAGGTGTTGTAATAATGTAAAATATGTGAAAAATAATGTGTTTTTCGAACAACCTAGTATGAGAGCCTGTTCTAGTACACCCCCAAAACAAAATCAAGACTTTGAAAAAGAGCATAATAGGACCCCTTTAAATGCTTTTTTTTTATTTTTTAAGAGTATAACAGTAATATTGTGAAAAATTACTTATAATTAAATTTTTTCTAATTTGAAAATATTTTCAAATGTAATTTATTCCTGATTGCAAAGCTGAATTTTCAGCAGCCATTACTTCAATCTTCAGTGTTACATGATCCTTCAGAAATCATATATCATAATATGCTTACATTTCTTATTAATAGTTTTGAAAACAGTTGTGCTGCTTAATTTCGTGGAAGCTGATGTTTTTTAAGATTTTTTTTTTTTTTACATTTTTCCCCCCTGCTTTAAAAATTTCATCAGGACTGAATTTATACAATATTATTTATGGGGTATAAATGTTAAATGTCTGCAGATTACTATTAGCATTTTTGCACTATACGTTTGCCTAATGTCTGTGAATAAATCTTATGACAACTGTACATTAGAAGTCAGGATCATAATCTGAATAAGTTGTTGTGTTGTGAGATGTAGTACCTCTGAAGGACAGCCCATAGGCTGGGGTAAACGGTTTCCTGCTTTCAAGAGCTCAATGAGATGATAGACTATTGTTTGTCCCTGCTTGTCACCTCCCATCATACTCAGAAATACCTGAACACAACAAAACAGAGATTCTCATTGCACAGTTACTCTGTGAGGTAAATTTCCACAATTTCAAGAGGTGTCGCTGACATGCCCCGTATGATTTACATAGCCAACGCAATTCAAAACCAGCAACTGTTAAAGTTTGCCGTTATGACATGT